GAATGTCAAGATTTGCCCTACTGATGGCATGCTTTTCTATCTTACACGATACTGACATATTGTTAAAGGTCTTAATTATATGACCATTACTCACCCTAGTATTAGTCATGCTGATTATGTGGTGAGTCAGTTCATATCTGCACCCCGCTCTATTTATTATGTTGTTGTACTTTGAATTTTACACTTTATTTGAAGTACGATGTTTCAAAGTTTGCTAATGTCTTCAATCTTTGTTCTTGAACTCTAATCTTATTTTGATGGGGATTAGGCTGCGTTTGTTGCTGGTTGCCAATTGACTAGTGGGTTTCTTATTTTTTTGGATTCACTTTTCTCTTGGAAAACTAAGAAACATAAGGTGGTTGCTCGCTCAAGTATCGAAGCTGAGTACTAAGCTCTTGCATGTATTGCAATTGAAATTGTCTAGTTGTGTTGACTTCTTCAAGTTATGTGTATTGTTCACACAAAAGTGCAATTTGGATTACTCATAATGATGTGTTCCATGAGTAGACAAAGCATATTGGAATCAATTGTCCCTTTGTTCGCGATCATGTCGTTAGGGCACTCTTACTCTAAATTTTGTTTCTTCGAATGATCAAATAGAAAATCTTCGTACAAAGGCCCATCTTGAGTTTAAAGGTGAGAAAAATGAAAGGTATAGCTTTACTTAATGCATATTTCTACATTCCACTATATTGGCTTCTTACCTACACTCTCTTTTGTAGCATTTTCTCAATTTCACTGTCAACTTTTAAGAGACACCATTTCCTTTCAAATAGATTGTATCTTGGCTTTTGTTATAAGTCAGCAATCTAATAAATTACTAGTAAAGAACTTGTGTGTTACACGAAAATTTAGACAATCTCATCTAATAGAATAATATATAAAATAAGGTCTAATAAGTTAGAATTGATTTATAAAATTAAATAATGGCGCATCTTTTCTATAGTATGGACTTCTACTTTTGATTTTTCAAGTATAACATGTAAAAAATATAACAAAATTTATAGACATCCATATATCATCCAAATCCCCTTAAATAGTATAGATAATTTCTAAAATAAAGCCCTAAACTTTTCCCAAAATTTTAGTAGGCTTGAAAGTAATGCAACTTTATGTGCAAATGTTATGTAATATTACACAAATATTATAGTAATAATAATCCATCATACATTAGTTTTATATTATATAGGATGGTAATTCGGCTAGTAAAAGTATTTGCATTGATTCATAAGGCGGTCAGCCTAGTGCCTAGGCGGCCGCTTAGGCAGGCCATGGGGGCATGTGGGCATCATCCAGGCCTAGGCGGCCCTTCTGGGTAGGGGTCCCTAGACTCCCGCCTGGGTGTGTGCCTAGGGATTGTGCCCACCTAAAGGAGAAAATGCCTGTAATGCCCTTCGTGGAGTGGCATTTTTGTAGTTTTTTACCCCTAAATGAAGGGTTTTTCATATTTTCGTATTTTTTAACTCTTAGAGTTGATTTTTTTTGAAAATAATCAAATTTTTGCAATTCTTAGAAATCAATCATGTACTTCAGACTTTTGAGAAATCGATCCAAACATCATTTTTTTTTGTTTGGATTTGATTTTGATAATTTTTTAAGCTTATTAGAGGTTTTTAGGAAGTATTTGAGATTGGATGACATCTCAAACATATAAGATTGAAGATCGAGCAAAAACGTTAGTTAAACATATTCATATTTGAGATTTTATTTGTTATTTAAATATCTTCTTTGGGTTATTTTAGAAGTGGTGATCCTGTTTGGAAGTATAGTTATAACCTAAACCTAAATAACAAAAGACATATAAAATGTAATCACAGTGAAAAATATACTATTGGGGGTATAAACTGGTTAAGAAAATACTTTGCCCGTATTAGGGGGAATGTTGCCCCTTGTTAAAATGTTCCTGAATCTATCAGAAGAGAGATTAAGAAATATATGAGTTCGATAAAATACAAAAAGGAACGAAAGGAGCCTTGTCATTTGGATGTCTTCTACTAGAAGTGGTGATCCAGGTTGGAAGTTTCTTCTAGAAGTCGTGATCCAGTGTTGGAAGTATGGTTATGACCCAATCCAAATGATAAAAAATGTGTAAGGTGTAATTTTTGTGAAAAAGATACCAATGGGGGTATTAACTGATTCAAGAAATACCTTGCTGGTATTAAAGAGATTATTGCTTCTTGTAATAATGTTCCTGAAGCTATTAGGAACGATATTAGACAATATTTGAATTGGTAAAACTAGGAAAGAAAGAAAAGGAGTCTTGTTATATAGAATTATCTTCTCTAGATTCTCTAGAAGTGGTGCTTGGGGTTTGAAGTATGGTCATAACCCGAAGCCGAATTACAAAAATTATATAAGGTGTAAGTATTGTGGAAAGGATACTATTAGAGGTATTAATTGGTTCAAGAAACATGTTGCCGGTACTTAAGGGGATGTTACCACTGTAAAAATGTTCCTAAGGCTAATAGGGAGGAGATTAAGTAATATTTGAGCTGAATAAAACACAAAAAGTAAGATAAGGCTGAAGAGTCACCAAGTAGAGCAGCCAACACTCTTAGGGCCTCTAAATAATCTGCATAGAGTAAGTGGCGGTAAAAGAGGAGGAAGATGCAGATTCAGAAGAAACGGAGGAGGGCGAGCGTTATGTTGAAGAGGGATATGACTTTGATGGTGGTAGACTCTACTCCGATGCATATGATGAGGCTTACCCCACTTTTTCTGCTGATCATTGAAGACGCTTGGCTCTTGAGTCTTAAACTGTCTATTTTTTTTTCTTATTTTCTAATTTCTACTGATCTACTCGTATGTGGATGCATGTATGGTTATATCATTGTATAAAACTATAGATTATAGAATGGCATGAACTATAGAACATGGAGTATGGTATATGGAGTATAAATTATGAATTGTGCATGTATAACTAATTTACCATATATTTTATTTAGTATTCTATCTATTACAAACTTGCAATGGTTTGGAATTTAGGATTGTGAGATTTTTAATATTTTATGGTGTACACTCATATTCTCCTGCCCCTTGCCCCTTGCCCCCTGCCCCTTTTCTTCAACCTAGGTCCTAGGCCGCCCAGAAATTTTGATGCCCACCTGGAGCTAGGCGGCTAGGCCCCATGACCGCCTAGGTGCTGCCCGGCGTTTTTTTGGAACACTGAGTATTTGCAATATTATTTATATATTAATTATATTCTAATATTATTACAATGTTACTTGTAGTAAAATATTTATAATAAACATTTTATAATTTACAATATAATAATTATTGCTATTTCAAATTACAAAAAAAATATAGCTCTCTTTAGGCACGCATGGGTTTTGAGAGGTGCTGCTTGTAGGACCTCCTAAATTTGATACGCATAAACTTTAGGATGGCTTCTTGTAGCTCTTAGGATTTGTAGATATCCGGTAAATGATCTCTTATAATATGTCTCTCACATCCATTCTTCTTAGAATTTTCTACCTCTTTTATGACATCTTTCTAAATCCTCAAATGGAAACCCTAAACTCTATCCACACACTCTACATTTTTCTTCTATATATGTCATCTCTCTAAATCCTAAAAAAAGGAATCTTATTCATTTAATTAGAAAGATAATATTCCTTAAAATCCCTCTATTTCTAGGACATCATGTACCCTACTTTATCTCTATGTAGAGGGTCTCTTTTTATTCTTGCAACACATGTCCACCAATTAACTTCAGCTTAATAATTATGATGAATATTGATATAGATATCTACGTGGGGGCACTTGTATTAAGTATTAGATAATATAAAGTTTAATAATATCTCTAATAGTTTATATTCTGATTATGTGTGCGTATAACGTATTAGAATTTCATCGTCATCTCAATTGTGCTAACAACAAATATGCCTTTTGTAATTTCATTGCATGGCAAAGGTTAACAGCATTTAATTTCAGCCTTTCCTAAATAAGATACACAATCTAGGACACTTAAATCACAACATTCTCGGCATGAACATAAAGTCAGCTTAATAACCATTTTAAGAAATCATATCCAAATCTTTTGTTACTCTCCTTTAAAGGGTCTTTCGGGTTGTTGCATGATTTAAAACAATGTAATCGTTATTCCTCACTATTTACCTAATTTGAGACTCCCTTTAGCTCTAAACACACTGAAAATTTTATAAAGTTATTTATAAGTACTTATGTCCAACAAATGGTGTACTACCTAATATACTGGTATATTGTACCTTTTTTTTTGGGTACCTTCATTGTATTATCTGTATTTCCTGCAAATTATTAGGATTTACAGATTATAAATTACCTACTATGAAATGATGGTATTTCTTTGTATTTTTCATATACTATTAGAGTTATTATTTGACCACTGACTATATGATTAAAGAAATCATTTGGGAGTTAACATTTAGCACTGAAAAGTTAATTACGTGATGAAGTTTATGCATTTGTTTCCCAATTAAATTTGCTTCAATCTCAATTTGAAGTTTTAGTCTGCCATTGAGCATGTCATTTTCTAAAATAGTATTACTACTAAGAATGCTTGATTTATTGTTGCTTCTTATATCAAGAAGAAGAAGATTATGGTGAGGGGTTCCAAAACTGGTTTCTTATCCGAACATTTAGAATCGCAGCATTTACTTTGCCTCATTTAGCTGTCAAAGATGTATAGTTCGAATTTTCACATGCTTTCTTTCTCTTTTTGTTCTCATTTATTACAGAGACAGAAAAAGAGAGAACGAGACTGTGAAAAGAGAGAGAAGGGATATAGTATAAAAATGTGTTACACATTACTTGAAGAACTGAAATTTTCCCATGCTTTCTTTCTCATTTCTTTCTCATTTATTATAGAAATTCTATTTCATATGGAAGAATTTGGGAACACATTTATCATATGTTTCTTTCTCATATATTATAGAAATTCTAATTCATATGGAGGAATTCGGGAACACACTTATCATATGTTTTTATGAGCGTTTAAATTTTGGAATTGATGGATTTTGAAGCATGGAAGATATCGTTGACAAGTATTTTATGGATTCAAAGAACCTTCAAAAAGAAGATTCACCATCTCTTGAATTGCATGTAAGTTTTTTCTCTTTTCCGCTTTCTACTATTTTGCTCCTAAGTATTGCACTTGAATTTATTTCTAAATGTGATTTATTGTACTTAAGAAGTGATATTCTTGTTCCTACTGTTATTGTCGTTTTTATTCGACGATGTTCATTCTATGCTTTTGCTTTCCGACATGCATTTTTCATATTTCGTTAACTGATAAATTTTGCCAAGTACTTTGCCTATGGATATGGAGATTAGATAATCATGGTAGTCCGGCATTGTCTCTTGTTTCCTCATGCATTGAAAGTAGTGTTGGGTTCCTCCAAACTTAAAAAGTTCGAAAAGAGACTAATCAATATATAATAAGTATATTTAGTATGCTTTTTCAGACAAAAAAAGCCTAATCACATATCTAGGAAGTCAATATTAGTGGCCATTACTGTTATGAAACTTGAAGTGTTGGAAAGAAAAATGAAATTGGGAAGAAAAAGAAAAAAAATGAAAATGTTGAAAAATTGGAAAATAATGGATTTAAATACTATTTTAAATAGAAATACCTTTGTCGTGAAATTCAGGGTTATTATGTCTGTTCTTATGAAAAGGAAGAAGTTTACCATTTTCTATCATTTTGAAAAAATGGTCTTGATATTATGTTTTAACAGTAGAATTAGATCAGCCGACAAATATGAAAAGTGTTTCATTTAGGAACTGCTTGTCAAACTAGACGAATGACAATTCGTCAAATCTCTAAACTATCATCATGATCATGATCATGATCATCATTGGAGCCTTATCTTAACTAGTCTCGTCAGCTATAAAATGCTGCTTGTTTTTCCAAGATCCAGTTTTCTAGGTGGCCAAAATTGTTCAAGATCTCTGCTTGTTTTTCCAAGATCCAGTTTTCTAGGTGGCCAAAATTGTTCAAGATCTCTGCTTGTTTTCCAAGATCCAGTTTTCTAGGTGGCTGAAATTGTTCTAGATCTAATCAATAAACAACTGCTACCACTGACTGGTTTGATCAGTTCTTGATTACACATTTTTTATTTTCATTAAAACATTCATGACTCTTTTAATAAGTGACACCTTTGTAATATTTGGCGACACCATCCAAATTACGCTTGACCCGATACCAATACCTAACACGATGGTAGGACTGAAAAAATATGGTTAGGGTAAGTCAAACCACCGGTTGCCAAATCAAAACTCTTTTTTTCAATCGACAAGAAAAAAGAACCAAACTTTTGAGCCCATAATCAATTGGATCCATCTAGCAAAGACATGCCAACGGATCTTCACTAATTCCATTCTTTTTTGTGATAGGTTCGTTGTAAGATACAAACCAGGTATATAGTGTTGCAATCGGCAACATTTTATGCTATACCTGACTTAGAGCGGGGTCTTCATTTTTGGCTTTATAAGGAGATTCTAAGCCAGAAAAATAGCTTTCATATGTGTGTGCTTATGTAAATTCCTACACCTGAACCAGGACCTAGTGGGTTGCCAAGGTGGGCATATCTAATGGAATTGACCATGTTGGTATTTTTGGAAATGTTAATAACTTTATTGAAACTTTATGCTAATATTTACCATAATTGTAAATGTCTTTTGTATTTTATATTCTATGTTCATGTCTTCTTTGTGTTTTTTTTTTTTCTTTCTTTCTTTTTCCCCCAAATAATTTAGAACTAACAATTCTAGAACAGACCTGCGATACCATAGAAAAACATCACAATCCCTTGTGGAAAAGAAGGATTTGCTGAGATGGAAGTAAGGATATCAGATTCCTGCCAAGATAATTGGAAGTTTGGGTTAATCAATTGGAGAACCGGGAACTCAACTAACTTTAAGAACATTTCATTCCAGTGGAGTATTTACAGGCAGTATCACAAAATATGTACGAGTTCCTTCTAATGGAAAAATCAAATTCAATGAAGATTTAATTCATCCCACACGTACACGTCATGGACATCCTGCTATTTGGGATTGCTAGTTCTGAGCTGATGTTTTCATGTGCAAAATACCGTTCAGAAGTAGCAGTTTCTAACCAACATGTTACATGTTTTCGTGTTTTGTACACAAAAACACTAATTCGGAACTCACAATTTCGAATTAGTGAAAAAAACATGTTCGGGACCGTCCAAACCAGTGCTATGTACATGAAAACATCAGTTCAGAACTAACATTCTTGAACTATTGATAAAGACATCGACAACGGTTAGAGCTGGCAGCTCTAAGCCTGTACACAATCATTGGTTTGGAACTAGTAGTTCTGAAATGGTGATAAAGACATCAATATCAAAGTTTTGGGTATATTGAAGAAAAAGAAAAAAACTCAAAACAAAAAAAGGATATGAATGTGAACTATAATATATTAGGGGCTCTTTTTAATTTGTTTGAATTAAAAAGAACATTTAACAACTATAATAAATTAGAGAATTTTTTTAATTTGTTTGAATTATATAGGACATTATCATGAATTTCTCTAGTTCTGTGTTATGTTACTTTTCTCAAAAGAACTAATAAAACCTAGTTTGGGTTGGCAAGCTATTAGCGTGAGGCCCTTTAAATTAGTGTTACGGACATTAGACAGGGCTCCAGGGCCAACACATTAAAAAATCTTACTTTGGATTGAACCAAGGGAAACCCACAAGTACCAGCTCTTTACAAGCAACGCAAAGCACAAAATCTATAGGAAAAAACCCTTTGTAAGTTTATTAATATTCATAAAGTATGAGAAGTATGGAACAAAACTCTTTGTAATTTTATCCAATATTTCTTCCTGAAATTAGTAATTCGTGGTGAAAGCTATAGGAGAAAACTCTTGGTAATGTTTATTCAATAATTCGTGGTGATAAAGATAGAGAGAAGAAATCTTAATGCATATAGAACTACAGAAAGAAATAGGAATAAAATGAAGGGTAATTAATTGAACTATTACTCCTTGGTATTACTTTAGAATATGTTAAGATGTGGTGCATATCAAATCATGGTATACTACAATTACGGTATTAAAAACTAGTCAATTGATAATATTAGTAAATTGTACTATTATAGTAAATTGGAATACTATAATGGATTGAGTGGCATTGGCATGATCTTTATTTTATTATTTACAGTTTAATATCATAGTAAGTCAATTGATAATATTAGTAAATTGTACTATTGTAGTAAATTGGAGTACTATAATGGATTGATTGGGCATTGATGAGATCTTTATTTTATTATTTACTATAAATTGATATCGTTTTATGTATAGTGGAGCTTAGATATCTCGAAGTCAAATCTCTATCCCAATGACATGGGATCTCGCTCCTAGGTGTCTTAAGATCTAGCTTCTTAACTTGTTAAATAGATGGATGTTGATCCTAACCCCAGGGAGCTTCCATCCTATGGCGATTCAGCGTTCCCCGAATTGATCTTTGCTCTTAGACCCGCTCCTACCTCCAACAACTATGGTACAACCTTCTTCCCTTGAATAGGTCCACCTAAGAATGCTTTTCAAATGGCGAAGTTTGACATAAGAACTTTCCATCAACTCACTCTCCATGTGTAACACTGTGTTTCTTTTGGACAAAGAATCTTAGGTGTAGCCCATACTCTCTTTAGCAATCAGGCTCTTGAACTTGATCTAACAACTTTTTAAAAATTAAATCATCAACGACATAAGATGGGTTATCAGAACGAAGACATAAGATGTGTTATATCTATGGTCTATGATTTTTTGCTAATATCTCTCTCCACTTTGGCCCTACCTACTATCTCTTGTTGGGCTCACTCAATCGTGTCTCTCGCACGAATGCAGATGTGCACAGCAGAACCCAAATTAATGAGACACAAAATTACACCAAAACCAATGTGTGTGTGTGGGAAAACATGCAATAAAACAAATAGCTTACTGGCACTGATATTTTATGTGGTTCACCTTTTCAAGCAATGTCCACAGTAGAAAGAGACGGATCTACTTTTAAAATAATGGTACCTTCCAAGAAAAAAACTTTCTTGGGCTCTTTGATTTCTTCTAGAGTGTTTTCTCTCTCTCTAAGTTTTCCCTTTAAGGTTCTCTCTCTTAGAGGTTTTCCTTTTGTCTAGATATATGACTCTCCTAGGCTTTTCTCTCTAGGAGGCACTATGATAATCCCATAGAAACACTATCTTTATCTAACAGGCTTTTCTCTCTCTTCTTTCTTCTTCTTCTCTGTAAGAGAATGGCTCTCTTCTTCTTTTCTCTAAGAGAAGGTTTTCTGTATTTCTGATACACCAAGAGAGGTACGCTCACATAAATGGCCCAAGGTGGGGAGAAATGACCAACCGAGCGAGCACACAAATGCCTTATGTGATTAGCTTTACATGGGCCAATGCGATGATCATCCTATAACCTCCTAAAATGTGGCTCATATCTATCTCTTTTCAACTAAAAGATAAAAGGATATATCTACCCAAAACCATCATGTGATATCCTATTTACGTGTGATGATGACTTGGTCAACAGGTCATCTTTTTGACTTTACATGAGAAGCCCCCAAAAATGGGGAATCCCACTAGTGCCCTTCATTATCGGACGAAACACCCAACAATATCCCCCTCCAGTCCCAGGAGGGAGGTTTCCCCATGCAAATCAACCAGTTGCTCAAATGGCACCCGTGCCAACCATGCTTCTGCACAGCTTTTACTTGTCTCTAGTCAAGGTCTTCGATATCCTATCTGACATACTCATGTCAGTATGGATTTTCCTTAGTTGCAACAGTTTCTCATTCTTCTGCAGCTTGGACTGCCATGAAATAACTCCTCTTGCTAAGAAGGTATCCCAAGATTGACTTCTTTGAGTCCAGTTCTCCAGCCATGTCTTCATCTTTGTATCCATGTAACACAGGTTTACCTCCCCCAAAGCACAAACACACTTTGGATGTTCCTCTAAGATATCTGAATATCCAATGGACTGTTTCCCAGTGTTTCTTGCCAAGATTAGCGATAAATCTACTCACGGCACCAACTTCGTGTGTGATATATGACATCATGCACATCATGGC